CTATGCAATTGACTGTGAAATAGTATACAAACATATATAGTGCATAAATAGGCTAGGGAAAGCTGACGATGGAAAAGATGAAGTCATCCCGTTTGACATACATGTATACATTTAGTTGAGATTAAACCGATTTACAAATTCAATGCATTCTGTTTTCAGTGATTCTTGTTGACATTCCTACTAAAGTGAAAGAATAGAATCCATATTTTCCTTCAAAGCATAGCTTCAAATCATAGTTTCTGTCTACTCAAAATAAAGAATCCTTAATGTCGTGAACATAAAGGCAAAATGGCTTTTAAAATAATTTTCAGTTCTGATAAAAAACTTTTTGTGAATATGAACTTGGAATTATATATTAATTCTGAAACTTTGTACTTTTTATTGTATTTTTTCATACATGAGTAACTGCTTTTCTTGCTGGACCTACCCAATATCGAGTTAAATCGATGAACAAGGGGCAAGGAGGAGATAAAACCTTGATGACAAACTTTGCAACTGAATTTAAAAATATAAATTCTGCATCTATGAATTCTTAATTAAAACAAACATTCTTCAAGTGATTCTCTAAAGATTCTCCTGTTCTAAGTCCCTTTCCACAACGAAAACACATAACAAAGCTTTTTTTGCTGTGTGAAAGCATGTGTTTTTTCAGGAAGCTTTGGTAAGGAAACATCTTGTTACAGGTTGGACACTTAAAGTTGGATTTTTGTCCATGTACAGCTGTTACATGATACTTCAGGGCGTACACAGAACTGAATTCACGTCCACATTCCCAACAAAAATCCGGTTTTCCATGAAATTTCACTTCCTGAAGGTGTCTGTTGAAAGCAGACTCATTTAAAAACCGTTCCTTACAAACGATGCACGATCTGTCCCTTACTGGCAGCTCTTCTCTTTTTTCTGTAATTAAAAATTGAAAGTGAATATTTTTGCAGTAAAATATATTTGATTGTAACAAATTATAACTATCAAATTCTTTGAATCATTAATAGAGTTAATTAAAAATAAAAGTAAGTCACTAGCAACATGTGAAGTCTCATATGAATCTCCATTCGTACATATGACCTATCCATTGCCACATAAAAGTTCATGTCAAATGAAACAAAAGAGTCTACTTTTGAGTAAAACATCAGTCATTTATTCGTTCTCATTCAATGCCTGGTGAGACAATATACCAATAGCTGTAAAAGTTAAGTACATTGCGGTGGTTTTAATTTCACAAATATATCTGTTCAAGTTAAAATGCTGTTTTACTGTTTTGTAACAGTAAAAAGAAGTAAAAAAAAGTATCATGTCATTTTTAAACTCTTTTAATAAAATGATGATCATATTTTGTCACATTTTATTGGAATGTCTATGAAGTGCCTGGTAAATAAAAGATCAACTTTTATGTCACTTAAAATACCTGTCTTTGTACAAACTTTATGATTTTATATCAGAAAATCTTACGCTGAATTGTCTATGTTTTTTCACGTTTACTCGATTACGACAAGGGGCACACAGCGGCGGTGACTGGTCCAAGGGGGAATCTTACTCCTTCGTGGCACCTGCTCCCACCTCTGATATTTTTAGAGGTCCGTGTTTGCTCTGATCACAATTTGTAATTTGAGCTTGATCACTGTTCTTTATCTTAATAATTTATGAATTAATTTCCCATTAATAAGATGGGGACATTTTGGGGTGTCATGATTCATTTACCTAAAATAACCATAATCTGAATTTTAGCATATCCTCAAGAAGATCATTTTTTATCCGTAGTTCATTCAAGGACATCAACATCTTTCCATATCATAAGTAGAAAAGGAGATGTAGAATAATGAAATTAAAAGTTTGGTATGTATTGTTTACAAACTTTAAACAAAATAAAGGAATCCTTCCAATAATTAACTTTTAAAATGTTAGTTTCCATACAATACACATGAAGACGCTTAAAACCAATTTCTTTCTTTGGCATCACTTGACAAAAAAGAAGTTATCCTTTAAATGTCTATCTGTTCCATAGCAATAAATCGACAAGGAACATGAGAAATCTTTATGACACCTATCACAGGTTTGGCAGCAAATTTGCATGCATTTTTGTTTTGATTTGCTTTTTGGTCCAAATGGCTGTGTAAAGAAAATAAAATTTCACCGAAATTCAGATCTCTAAATATTCCTAAGTTGACAAGGATGGATGTCATCATATACGACTGAACAACACTGATATAACAGTAAAATAATATACTTGCATCAGATTTGCCTTTGCCACTCCTCACCAAACCTCCCAAAATTTGAATCGTTGAAAAAAGATAATAAGGATGAAGTGTTTTACACCAGTGTGTGTTTTTATTGAATTCAAAACTTTCAAAGATATTCATCAATTTAAAGAATTTAATATGTAAAGTAAGATGAAGATTCTGAACATTCAATACACACTACTAGTATGTGACTCTCAATACACAAACTTCAATAATATACTTAAACACAAACAGATTTCAAATATAAACTAAGATCATAATAATAACACAACCCTGGCTTTAAGAAGTACATCAACGAATACATAAAAGAAGCTGTTCTTTATCTTTAGGCTCTTTCACAAAACATTCATCAAAAATAAACTATAACTGTACATTATATACTCCCAGAGGACCTATGCCTCCGTGTATGAAAAATGCAGACATATATCTAAAATACTCAAATATAGACCTTTGTTTTATACATGGCTTTTACTCAAGGTATAACAAAAAAGCACACCCTCTACATCTAATTTTAAAGATCCTGAAACGAGCGATTTGCATTGGAGTTTCATGAAAGCATTTTTTCTGGATCTCGATATTCTTCAAACTTTGGTCATTAAAGGTTTGATTGAATAGGCATGCTCACAATCTAGGCGTATTAAGAAAAAGTCAAGAAAAGATGACAACAGGAAAGGAAGAAGGAAAGTAGAAAGATTGTCCCCTGAATACAAGTTTGTGCCGAGTACAGTCTTAAATGTGGTACATTTTAGTGTATTCTCATATTTTATTCTCTACAACTATGCATTTTGCTGAAGTTGCCCAAACTGAAGATGACATACTACTTAAAGAGAATGAAAGAAAAGATAAACTGTTTGTGAGCTCATTTTTATTTTTTACTCAGAACTGCTTATTTTACAAACATTTTTCAAGTGGTACCCTAAAGATTCCCTCGTTCTCAATGCCTTACCACAGCGACTACAAATGAACAAAGCCTTTTGGTTGTGTGAAAGTATGTGTTTTTTCAGGAAGCTTTGGTATGGAAACCTTTTGTGACAGATTGGACACTTGAAGTTGGATTGTTGTCCATGGACAGCTGTCACATGATACTTGAGGGCGTTCACAGAACTGAATTCACGTCCACATTCCCAACATAAATGAGGTTTTCCATGAAATTTCTCTTCAAGAAGGTGTCTCTTGAAAGCTGACTCGTTTAAAAACTGTTCCTTGCATACTATGCACGATCTGGTCTTTTTAGAGAAATCTTCCCCTCTCGTTTCAGAAACTGGAAAAAGAAAGTGATCTTCTGTTAATCGAAATGTTTTTGATTGTTGCATTTTATTTTCAATCATATTCTCTAAACGATTAATACGATACTTATTGACACATGTTACACAAAAAATATTGGATGCATGGATTAATAAATATTTTTGGATATTTTTACGTTGTAAATTATGCATATATTAAATATCTAAAATATTAACGAATCGTAGACTCTATGACGTCCAAATTTCTTCCTTTTTGCTATCACCCCTATAAATCTTCACAATTTTCTATCACTTTATAGAACATTAACGAGAAACCTTCATGAAAAAAAGAAACTCTGTGCAGTTAAACTTAATCATTTTACTTGTAAAAAATATATATTTATTTATTTCCATGATTTTTGAAAAAGTTTGTATTATCTGTCCGTAAGTGAGCTTTTTTGGTTTGTGTTAAGACACAAACACAAAAAATCCCAATTCACTGCTAATGTTCCTATTCATTCAAATTATTATGTACACGAAGTGAAGCAAAATGTCTACCTTAGAAAAATATTTATCTTTCGTAGATTCTCAGTGTCTGATAGGATTTCATAAGGTTATTTCTTACCATGTGAATAAAACAATTAACAGCATTTAAAATAATATAATTCTCTCTATTTTTTTGTATCCATTGGACAATGGCTGTTTGATTTTTATATTTTTATTTGTACTAACTTCTTGCTCTGATGAAAGAAAAAAATTTCACATTTTTAAGTAAATTATTCTGCTATTGAACAACGTAGGCTTTTGTCAGGTATGATCTCTTACAAATTAAATTAAAAGAAAATAATGAACAATAATCAAGATCATTATCCAATTAAACAACAAAATTGAGAGCAGAGATACAAAGACCTCTTGAAAAAAACAGACACTCGCAGTGGCCTCTTGAAATACATTGAATACACATTATCTTGATTTTGGTACCTAGTACAACTATATCATAAAGTATGTCGTTTACAGAAAATTATTGCATTCTTCGGAGTCGAAGAAACTAACTCTAATACATTTTTAAATAGCATTATTGCAATATTTGAAAACAGATTGTCATAAGAAAATACGGAAATGATGGACAATTATCACTTTCATGTTGCACTGTTTAAGTCAGAAACAAAATCAAATCGCTGACTTGAAAATATACATGGGGAAAACCCTTTATTTAAACCGATTTCTTTTTTTTTAGACAATACGGGTGTTATATTTTATATGTCTATCTGTTCTGTAGCATAATATAGGCAATGAATGAATAAATCTATTTTGACGGCATAATTGCATGACTTGCATCCATTTGTTCATCGTCTTAAATTAAGAATATGATTAAAAAATATAATTTCTACTGGCAATTACAACTCCCAGCATCTCTTAATGGACGAAAATGGATATATGTATATTAGACTGAACAAAACACAGATAGTACATAATTTGTCTTTCTCGTGCCTTTTAAATCCCAAATAATAATTAACTCCTTGGAAAAATAACAAATAAGTGATCAAATGAGATTTTTATTGACTACTAATCTCCTTTTTTAATAATAAATCTAAAGCATTACAACAGAATATGTCAAGAAAAAATTAAGATTTTAAACATTCAAGAAACACCCGCGGTTCTCCATGTAATATACAATCTTCAAAAAATCTTGAAAGCTTTAACATAGACACATTCAAAAAACACTCAACGCTATTAAATATACAACATTGGAATTATTAAGTTCTACATCAAGGCATACAAGTATTAAAGCTGGTTTTGATAATTTGGCTTTTTCATAAAACATTTAAAAAGGGCTAGAACTGTACATGTCCGTGATGGTCCCTATTCCCTCTGAAGAATGCAAACAATGAGATATTCTTAAAATACTCTTTCCCTGCACTTCACATTCAAATATATTTACTTTTGTCTATGACTTTCACTCAAGGATAACATACCGTTGTCGAATAAAACAAAATTCTTTGTGAACAAAAATAACTCAGACATTTTGAAACCTCAACGTTAATCTCAACATTTCCTATGAATAAGCCAGTTTGGACAACCATTTAAGAACACTAATGCGTCACAGAGAGCATAAATACTGAAACGAAAGCTATCCAGGAACAAACTCTAAGCACTGACTATCTGCACTACTTTGGATCATGTAATTTTCGCAACACCTTATTTTTACAAAATTGCTATTTTGCATTTATGAGAGAGACGAATTTCGGTCATTACTCTGTAAACTTTAATAATACTTATTACCCAGGAATGAAATTTTCGAGAAACAGAAAGTGTCACGTTATTATATGAAAATAAAATTCTAGCGAATAAAAAGTGATTTACAGTATTTATGTCAAAATTGAAAAATCAATTTAATATTTGTAATTGATGACATAACTTTTTAATGTGTTCTCTACAATTCAGTCTTTACAGTTTGGTCCTTTTTAAATGACAATACTTTTTGGATCAGTCGCATATTTCATCTGAAGTGTTTTCACCATATCCTTCATAAATCATTATCTCGTCTGAAAATTTGTGACCTTCAATATCAAAATGATAAACACCAGCTGATTATTCTGATACACACTGGACAAGACCAACCTAAATGTAAACTGCTGTGTTTTGACCATTAAGCATCAGAAATTCTAAGGGCAGCAAGATATCAACTTGATGAAGATATATGCTACATGTCGTTTGGGATCAAGAAAAAATTAAAGTGGTTGATTCCACGAGGATGAGCTGTCATTAGTAATTGAAATTGATTACTGACATCCCAAGTACAACTTTGTACATATCTTTGTGAAATCTTACTAAAATGGATTAACTGTACAATTTTACCTCTCTTTAAAAGAGCGTTTGTTTAACTCCATTTGAACTACAGATCAGTAATTTGTATACCATGAAAAACACAAAAAACTCTTCAAGCAAGTTCAAGTTCAAATCACCTTTCATCTCGCGAGTATTCGAACTTATGAGTTTTGAGAACGTTTATTACAGACCTTTTGTACAATATTTACAAGTATAACGTGTTCATACCACCTTACATGCATTTCTGATGCCAATCTATCAATCAAAGAATAAGATGTAAGTATAGAATCGTGTTTTACAGCCATACGCTATTTTTCCGAGGAATTTAAGATTAGATGGTCAGGATTCTTCCTCAAATGTGAGCTAAGATGAGTTCTAGATGGAAACTTTTTCTTGCAGGATTTACAAGGATACTTATTGTTTCCCACTAAGTGAGTGGTACCTAGGTGGTATTTTAGGGCAGTTTTGGAGTTGAATGGTTTTCCGCACAGAGAGCAGACGAGATCTGCGTCAAAGTTGTGGTAATTTACATCCAATAGATGTTGGTTAAATTTGGATTTCTTGAATCCTCTGCGGCAGGTGTGGCAGGTGACTTCGTTTCTTTCTTTGTCTGGAAAATTTTTCTTCTTCTTCCCAAGGCTTACCTTAGTCTTAGGCGGGTTGTAAACTTCATTTGTTTCAAGGAAATAAACTGAAATAAAATGAAATGAATATATTCTTTACCGTTAAAACATAACATTTAACAATACTATAAAACTTCTTCTTTGATGTTTAATTAAAATATATATATAGCAAGGAAAATGTCAGAAATGGTAAAACAAACACAATTTTACTTTTTTTTCTTTCTTTTAGATTTTAAGTTATATAAAATAAACTCTTAACATCAAAACGAAAGCAATAAAGACTCTTTACAGGAGAATTTTATCTGTATGTCTGAAATTCTACTTTTTCTTATTAACAATAGGCGACTGGTCCTTATATTCGCCTCAGTTAAAAAACCTTCAAGGAATAAATAATAAACAAATGTGAACAGCCCTAAATCTCACAAGCTTTTCGTGTTTATCTATTATAAACTAATACCCTTAAAAATTGAGTTTATCCATCGTTCAAAGTGACCTTTATCTTTGGAAAATATCCTTGAATTGTATAGCTAAAAATTATTATAGCCATGTATGTGCTTTTAGACAAGTATGAGTTTAAATATTCAAGTTATGGACCAAATTTAGCTCCATGCTTTCATTTCACATTTGACCTCAATGCATCAAAATTTATACTTACTAACTTATGGACCCAATGTGCAAAATAAATTTCTCTAGCGAAACCATTCTCCAAATATTGCACAGAAAACTTAACTTCTACTTATTACTACAAAAAGGCCACCTTATCAAACCCTAGAACATTTTAAACTCAATGAACAAACCATCTTAAAACATTCTAAGGTTAATGAATATGATATCCCAACCCAAAACGTTCCAAACTTAAAGGATATCTTTATCCAAAACATTCCAAAATTAATACACAGAGACAAAAATCTTTTTACTAAATACATGTAGCACCAGAGGTACTTCTACCTATTTACCCCCAATTGAAAGACAGTCCCAGCACTTCAAAAGGCCAACCTATGATGATGATGATGTAAACATTACAGAACTATACATTTACAGGCTACTGATTTACTAAACTAATATCAAGTGAGGTTTTTATCCAACTAGCACATTATACAGATATGGGCGTCCCAAAACAAACCTTTCTGAATTCGAAGATATTGTATATTTATCAATTTTTTTTGTTTCCCCTCATATACAATACATTGTATTTGGTTAGAATTACTTTTTTGAGATGAAGATGAAAATGTTCATCAGATGACGCACTTTGCACTAGCGCAACAGGAACATATAGGAATTGATATTCCGAATAAGGCACCCAATTCACTCGAATGAAGTAACAGAATTGCATGGATAGATACCCACATCATGATTTTCATCCATACGAAGATTCAGAAAAAAAGACCTATCAATTGATCAAAAATTGAAATGATTAAAATAAAAATAAATAAAAAGGCTTAAAATTCCTCATACATTGACCTTCTTTTAATGCTATTGAAGTGGGTCAGAGCACGCCTCGACATAAGCTTCTGTTGTGCAAAATGTAATTTTTTGAAGGAAGTCTCTATTTTTTAGGAATCTATCTTCAATCATGGAGCATAAAGGGGGAAAACACATTTGGAATAATAATTTAAATATAACTTTTATTTTCCAAGGAAAAATCAATTGCAAGCATTGATTTACGATAAAAAAAAATCCACAGTTTTTCGCATTTCTGCCTAAGATTTTATTATTCCTGTGAAAGTTTAAGCACATATTTTCTTTACTAACATTTTTCTTAGCAAATAGATGACACTTAAAATAGATTGCCTATTGCAGAACTTTGCTAATCAGCAACAATAGACATGACTTGTGAAGTAAGGTTTCTGTTTTTTTTTTTAACATAGAAGCGCTTTTCAAAAAGCTGTTATTCCACTACTAGCATTAATCGTAGAGAACTTCTTCCTTTCCTTTTCCTATTTCTAGCTGTCCGTAAACATTTATATAGTAAGATCCCTTATTACCGGTAAACTTGTACAACCTGGAACAACTTCTACTGGGTTTCTGAGTGACTCTTCATGTGATTATTGAGGTGTGTTCTGCTTGGATAACTCTTCCCACATAGATAACAACAGTGAACTTCTTCTCCTTCATTGTGAACAGTGGAGAGATGATACTTTAAGGCTGTCTTCGAGTTGTAAGGTTTTCCGCATCTCATACAAATTATCTTATGGCCATGGTTATCAACCTTTACTAGATGCTGCCTGAATGCAGGGCGGAATACTTCTTCATCGCATATATAACACCGAACGTGATCTCCACTTACTTGTCCCACCTTTCCAACTATCTCTCCTGTAATAGAAGAGGAAAAATTGGATAAAATAACCTTTACGTCGATTTCTAATAACTGAGAAGTACTCTCATTCCCCCAAGAATGCAATTCAAAGGTTTTATTTGGTAACTCATTTTCACGCAAAAAACCCCCCCAGATCAATCCATTACTGATTTTAAAAGAAAATAAATATAATTCTACTACGATTATTGCCGAGATCAAAGAAATGCCGCGGACATTATTCTCCAATAAATCACGAACGTCATCAAAAAATTATCAGATCAGAAACACATGTCAAATCTGTACAGTTGAAATAAATATTTCACTGTATAATCTAATACTTATATAAACCACATCGATGTGTCGTCTTCCGCAGTCTAAACGTGTGTATTGCCTGAAACAGCTGATAAATATCCGTTTTTATAGCCAAGTTGGGCTGTTCTATGGACCTCCCCACAACATTTACACTCCCGTGATTTTACTGATAAATCAATGAAATAGACAACTGGTTTTGTTATTTTTCATTCATAAAAATTAATCAATATATGATACAAGCAACTTTGTAAATAATTAAAGGATATTTTTAATCCAACGAAAGCTGAAATCATCTGCATTTAATGCAATCGATTGACCCTCTGGTGTTAAATGGAACAGCGAAATTGCGACATGGTGATCTAATTCGTTTCTCTATAGAGAAAACGATCAACTGTATTTTAGAGCCGTTAGTAGAATAGAAATAAAGTCCTTGTTGTCGTAAATGATGCAGGATAACCTCCTCGATCTCGAAATGTTGTCTGAAATATAAAAGCCTCGGCTAACGCCTCGGCTTTTATATTTCAGACAACATTTCTCGACCTCGGAGGTTATCCTGCAACATTCACGATAACGCGGACTTTATTTCTTAAATAACCACTCACCAAACTTAATTAGCAATGCAAACAAGCATCTTTTATGTCACAATGGAATATTCTCAGAATATAAATTCTGAGGATGAAAATCGATACGCTTTGTCATGATCTGATTTAAATATATACATGTATATGTATGCTGTTCAATTATCTACGTTCACATGATTGTTAACAAAACTGAATGCATAAAAAATTAATAAATAATAAATTTCATTTCAGTATTTTTAGAAAGATTTTAATAGCAACCCATTAATATTTACATTTATACATTATACAATACTGAATACTCAATACAAAACTAACGATATTGTTTAATTTTTATTCACAAAATTCAAGTTCGCTCAGGTACATGAAAGAGGTATCCGAAAAAAAAACAAGCGGATGAGGTTAAAAAAATATTTGTCACAACTTATTTTCTTTGTGTTTATTTTACAACATTTGAAACCAAATGAAGACATATATGCTATAAAAGAAACTAAAAACTCTCTTCTATTGTATCTCTTCATTTCTTTCATTGTTTGTTACATTTATTATATTTCAAATGAACTCCCAAATTTGATTTGTGTTTGTATGACTTTTTACAGTGTGGACATGTAAAGCAAGCCTGGTCAGAATGACTCCGGGAGTGGTCCACAAGGTAGCTCTTTGTTGGAAATGTTCGGTCACACTTATCACATTTAAAATTGCTATAAAACGAATGTGCAGTTGATAGGTGATATTTCAGCGCTGATCGAGAATTGAATGGTTTACTGCAGTGTAAACACATCTTCTTGTAGCCGTGGAATCTAACATTATGGATGTGTCTTGTCAAACCCTCAATGGATTGAAAATATGTATTGCATACATAACACTGAGGGGGCACGTTGTGTTGGGCAGCTGCCGTTTCTACGGAAGGTGAGTCCTCACCTACGAATAAACCAAATTTTCATTATAGTCAGTGTATATCTTTTTTTTTTTTTTTTACTTTTTATTAAATTGTTTGAAGCACACTTTTAACTTCTATTGATATCTCATTTAAAGTTTTCGGGTATGTATAAGTTTTATTAATAAACCTAAATTCTCACACAAGTCTTCATTACAATCAGATGTGAAAGGAAAACACAGTCGTGATCTTTTATCTGTTATTTTTATTTTCTTCCATATTGAAGCATTTAAAATACATTTAGTTGTACCTTCAACTATAGAGAAAAAGAAAGATTGCATATCACCAACAAACATTGAAAAAAAGCAGCCAACTAAATTAAAGAAAAATAGAAGTCAAGTCTGTGCTCTTTATAACTATACGAATTTCAAGTCAGTTATATGCATTTTCCTTATTTTGAATGTTTCAACCTACACGACTTTTCATGACGCAACATCACGTGCTTATGTTTGAATTCACTTTTACACAAAGAACACTTCCAAGGTCTGTGATCAGAATGGACTTTTTTGTGCACCATTAACACAGACTTTGCAGAGAATGCTTTATTACAGATATCACAACGTGGACAATCTTTCCCAGCTTCGTGTTCCATGCGCTGATGCTGTTGTTGACCAGTGATGGTCTTGAACCCTTTACCACATACTTGACATATCACTGCAAATCCATGATTGTGTACCGATTCATAGTGCTTTAACAAGACCTGGGTATTCGGAAAAATTACCAGACAATATTTACAGAGAGAATTTTCAAACTGGGAGGGTACATCTGTCCTTATCGACCTTTTTTGTGTTACTAGTGCGTCGCGTATTCCTCTGCCCTGCGGTCCTGTAAATATAGAAAATAGCCAACGGTGATCATCAAGTACTGAACAGAGATCTTTAATCACAGTGTAAAGGTCTTTGAAGTCAAACGAACATCGTTCAATATTGAAACCAATTCGTGTTC